ATTCTTTACTGGTGAAAAATCATATGGATGGGTGTGGGAATCAGTACTAGATAGAGAGACTTTTTTTTTTCTGAAGTAAACAAACAAAAAAGAATCCACTGACAAGAAAAAGAAAAAAAATCTTAGAGCAAATCAAACCCTGACTTTTCAACACTAGGCTAATTCTTTATAATTATTGTATCATCTCTCCATTGTCTTCTCCTTTTCGTTCTATGCAATTAATATTGTTATCATAATGTTACCACAGGGAGATTTGGTGGCCTAGTGATAAGGATCTGTGCTGCCAACTTAAATCCACCAGAGAAAGACAATCTTCTCCCATGAAAACCAGCTGGAGTGTCAGTTCCAATTTGATGGTGTAACAACATGCACTTATTTAGGGAGCTCTAGTGGCTTGGTGGTAAGGAGTTGTGCCCTTTATCAACCCTTTGAAGCATGTGATTCAAATCTACCAGCTGCTATGCAAAGAAAAATGGACAATCTCCTCCTGTGAGACTAACTGCTTCTGAAAATCTGTCGGAGGGTCAGCTATGAGCTGCTTCTGACTCAACAGTATACAACAACAACAACAATAACAACATTTGTTTATTCAGGGGGGTGTTATGTACCTCGTATGATAACATGCCATTGAGTAGGCAGCTCTGGTGGCCTATTGGCAAAAAGCTGCACTGCAATCCTGAAGACACGTGGTTCTAGGCCACCAGCTGCTCTGCAAGAGAAATATGGACAATTTCCTTACATATGATTAACTGCCTCTGAAAACCCACTGGAGGGTCAGCTATGGGTCGGTTCCAACTCTACAGTACTCAACCACAAAAACAGAAGAATGTCTCATAATGATTCAATGAATAATAGATCTGAACTCTGTCCTATACTGTGCCATCCAACTCCTAGTGACCCTAGGAACAACAGATCTCAACCTTGTCCTATTCTGTACCATCCTCACAATCTCTGACACATTAGAAAATTCAAAAGCAATTCTTCAAACAAGCCTGATAAAACTCCCTGAGCCTGCAAAAGATAATGTGAAGGCACAGTCAAAAGAAATGTTTGGGCTTAAATCAGTTAAATGTGCTTTAAAAAAAATCAGTCAAACTGGCAATGCATATACTACATATGACACTTACTATATACCTGAATGAGATGGATTTGTAAATAAAATAAATCTAGATTTATATAAGTTTCTGTGAGTGAGAGTATGTTCATGACAAAGGCATTTGTTCTCAGTACACAGTCAAATTATTGATTGATTATGTTTTATTTTTATTGTTGATTATGCAACACAGAAGAGTAGCAATTTTGTAGAATCCTGAGAAGGAAGCCAAGTGACCTTTTTAATAAAAAAACCCCCAACAACCCTGTCACATAAAAAAAAAAACTTCTCTAACAGGGTAAAAAGGAAAGCCACAGATTGGAACAAAATATTTGGTAATGACATGTCAGAAAAGGGATTTGCATATAGAGTTTGTAAAATACTCGAGCACCACAACAAGATAAAGGTAAATAACCCAGTTGAAAATGGGCACAGGATAAGAACAGACACTTCACCAAAGAAGACATTTAGATGGCAAACAAACACATGAAGAAATGTTCAAATCCCTAGAGAGGAGCGAATTGGAGGGGAGGGGTAGACAGAGAGAAAAGTGCAACAATGAATGAATGGAAACCCTAAGTCTCTGTAAACTTTCATTAAATTAATTTTTAAAAATGAAAAAAAACCCTGTGCATCACTATTTCAGAACTGAACCTCCCTAATGTAAAATTACACTTAAATTAAGATCTACTGTGGTAGATAGGCTCCAAGCAGCTCAATCATATCTAGACAAAGGTATCCAAAATATATCTTAATTGAAGTATAACTAGATTTTCATGCACAAATCCATGGATCTCTTCCCTCTCTTCCTGTAAGCAGGTTGTGAAGGAAGCTAAGTCTCCATAAAAGTGCCAGTTCATTGTTCGAATCCACCAGATGTTTTACCAGAGAAGGAGGGACAATCTCTTCCTGTACCAGTCAGATCCAATTTGACGGTACACAAAAACATAAATAATAATAAAATAAAGTTTTTAAAAAAGAGTGCCAGTTCATTAATTTGTCATGAGAAATATATGTCAGAAGTACTAGAGGCTTCTATCAGTTGGTCTAGTCTGACAGTAATGGGCAAGCCACATCTTGGGAAGCCACATCTTTAGAAGGTTGTTTGGTAAATCTACAATCAGAGAAAAGGGCAATTGGTTCACCTTAAGAAGTAGCTTTCAACTTAGAAATCTTGAAGCATTAACACATCATGAGGATAGTTCTGGCAAGGAAAGTTAAATGTTTTATTCATCTTATCCTGTTTGAGAATTGTCCTACAGACAGTGCTTGTGTTGGAAACTACCGATGCTTCACTCTAACTTTCCTTTTCATATATTTCAATTCTTAACCAAGCCCCTTCACATACTATTTCTCTAAACACAGAATCATGCAGTGGTTTTGTCTCTGCAATTATATCTTATACTTCCTTCCAAAAGTTACATTTGAATTTTCTTGGTGCTTTACTTGGTTTTATTTTGTAACATTCTTTGCAGGTCATTCAGTTTGTCAGTGTGTGTGCTTCTTTAACTTACTTACCAAGATGTTGTGTTTTCTACTCCAACTTTTTCATGCTCCTGGATTTCCAAGATCTCAATGCCTCTTCCTTGGTAAGAGATGCAAGTGAAAACTTTTCCATTTAAAAAAAACTAGCTTTACAAAATCCCTAACACATAATTTCACTCTACTAGCTTTTTTTTATTGTTGGCATGTGTTAGGGCCCAGAAAATATTAAGATGAAGAGTCCAACAATCCCTGTAAAACAAGAAAATGTGGGGCCTTTGGAGACCATCAGCCAATGTCCATCTTACATTCTCCCTTTTCTTCGACTGAAATGAAAATAGCTTGATTGTGATTGTAATTTTCCTTATAAAAAGAATTCAGACTAGAGTCAGGAGAGTGGGCAGACAAAAAGAACAAAAAAGTACTAAGAAAGTAAGAACCAGCCACACTCAAACTCCTTGGTCTGCTTTTCTGATGGCTTGTTCATTTCAGATCTAAGACTAGATGTCAGAGGAACCGGTAGACATTAACAGCTGGAAGTGAGGAGGTAGAGAGATAGTTTGCTGTCCCATAAGCCCAAGAAGGAAGAGGTAAATATTCAAATAAAGGTACAAACAGCCAGAAGCCCCCAGGCAACAGGATGTCCCTTTCTTGTGGTCAGAGGAAGGCAAATACCACTACAAGGATGGAATAAGTGAAGAATAAAGAAGTGACAAGGCTGGGTATAGGAAAAGGAAAGGAGGGGCGGACCCTTTTCTGTGGCACTGCTGGTGGGAGGGGAAATTGGGGACCCGAGTTGGTGGATGACGTAGCTTTCACGTGACCAAGAGCTGACGTGTGCAGAAGTCCTTTTAGTCCTAGTTGTTGTTCCCGTCTGAGTATCAGCTCCCCATTCCCCTGAAGGCGGGCAGGCCTGCAGCAAGAAGAAAGGAGGAAGGAGAAGGAAATTGTCCTTGAGTCCTGCAGGTACAGAGCTTGGGAGATTCCACAAAATGGGGTTAGCTTAGGGAGTAGGACAGAGACTTTCGCGGGTCCTGGGGCGTCCCTGTCTGTCGCCTCCGGCTTTTGGAGACATGCATATGTCCTGCCAACAAGCCATTAAAAAGCTGGGAAAAGGTAAGCAGGGGGATGTTTAGGGTGGAGTCCAGAGATTCTGAGGTAGGAATCTGATGGGAGAGAGGCCCGAAATCAGGAAAGGGATCTGTGGCCTGGGTGTTGGCTCCCGGTGCACTGTCCTGGTGCAGGCGGGTAAAGCCAGGCACCGGGAGGGGGTGGTCTATTCAGCGCGGTGTGCTAGCAGAATCCTAAGAGAGGTAACACGGGAGGGAAGCTTTTGACAGCTGAAATTTGGGAAGAGTTTCGTGTTCTGAGGACTGTTCCGTCCACTAAGGACTGTTAGGGCTATTTGTCGTCTTTCTGTCCTTGCCAGTGGCTTTCTTTATCTGGTGAGTCCAATTCTCTCCCTCGTGGCCGGTCTCTCTATAGGTTGCGGCACATCGACAGAAATCAACCCCAATCTGTGAAGGTCGATTTGAGGGTAAGGTCATCTGGGGATCCCAAGAAAGGCAGGCGTGGGATAGGGAGAAACCAGAGAATGTAATCCACGTTGAGGTTTGTGTCTGTTTCTCACTCTCCGCGGACTGTGGGGAAATGGCGTGCGTTGGGGAGGTGGAGGCGGTAACAGGAGGGAAACCTCTCAGATAGTTTATTTCTTCTCTCATCCCATGTTTTCTATCTGTCACCCTGCAGGTCTGCTGTAGCAGGGGCATCACTTGAAGCGAGGAAGTTTCCCCGTATCAGTTGAGGTCAGTGCGTGCGTGTGGGCTGCCTGGAGTGGAGGAGATGGAGATCAGCTTGGGATTGGACAAGCACATGCACGCCTGCCTTTTCTTTATATTGCTCCCTTTTTATGCTTAAAGGGAGGGACGTCATGTGCATATTTTAGATGGAATAGAGAGTCTGGGAGGTTAAAAAAATATGCCAATCAAATTACAAATCAGGAAAGTTGACACACAAGCAGGGGCTCCTCTGTCCACAGTCTTTTCCATCTACCCTCCACCATCTTTACCATCTCTGCAGATCTGAGACTTGTAGGGCGTGACACACCTGCTGGAGAAGAAAAGAGTACTCTTGTGGAGGCTAGGAAAAGGGTTCTTTCTACTCTCTGGGGACACCTAAAGTTGGAATGGCTGAGCCCCAGTAGAGTCCCTGAGCTCCTTCACTATTCTCGATGACTGAGGTGGGAGTGAGGTAAGGGGTGGAACTATGTTAGGAGAGGGTAGAAAGAGTTTAACAATCTACTTGTCACATTAAGCACTCAATTATTATTCTCCTGCCCCATCTGTGCAACTCTCTGCATTGGACACAAAGAGAAGAGAAACTCAAATTTCATTTCATTCTTCCACCCTTAGGTTCTTATCCAGTATTTGCTGTTATATTCTTGAAGTAGCTGAAGATCAACACTTTTCACAGCCTTGAATCTAAGTCCACCACCGTCCTCTTTCAGCCTAAGTGACAACTCTGTTCCTCAGTCCCTGCTATTGTCAGGGGCGATTGCATGGGCTACGCTAGGAAAGTAGGCTGGGTGACAGCGGGACTGGTAATTGGAGCTGGTGCCTGCTATTGCATTTATAGACTAACGAAGGGAAGAAAACAGAACAAGGATAAAATGGCTGAGGGTAGACCTGGGGATATGGATGCTACTGGTGGCAGGTACAATGATTGGTCTGATGATGATAATGATGATGATGACGATGACAGCAATGAGAACAAGGGTATTGTATGGTACCCACCTTGGGCCCGGATTGGAACTGAGGCTGGCACTAGAGCTAGGGCCAGGGCCAGAGCCAGGGCCACCCGGGCACGTCGAGCTGTCCAGAAACGAGCTTCCCCTAATTCAGATGATACAATTTTGTCTCCTCTAGAGCTGCAAAAAGTTCTTTGCTTGGTTGAGATGTCTGAAAAACCTTATATTCTTGAGGCAGCTTTAATTGCTCTTGGTAACAATGCTGCTTATGCATTTAACAGAGATATTATTCGGGATCTGGGTGGTCTTCCAATTGTTGCTAAGATTCTCAATACCCGAGATCCCATAGTTAAAGAAAAAGCTTTAATTGTTCTGAATAACTTGAGTGTGAATGCCGAAAATCAGCGCAGGCTTAAGGTATACATGAATCAAGTGTGTGATGACACAGTTATGTCTCGCTTGAACTCATCTGTGCAGCTGGCTGGACTAAGACTGCTTACAAATATGACTGTTACTAATGAGCATCAGCACATGCTTGCTAATTCCATTTCAGAATTTTTTCGTTTATTTTTGGCAGGAAATGAAGAAACCAAGTTTCAGGTTTTGAAACTCCTTTTGAATTTGGCTGAAAATCCAGCCATGACTAGAGAACTGCTCAGGGCCCAGGTGTCATCTTCATTGGGTTCTCTTTTTAATAAGAAGGAGAATAAAGACATTATTCTTAAGCTTTTGATTGTATTTGAGAATATAAATGAGCATTTTAAACTGGAAGAAAATGAACCCACTCAGAATCATTTCGGTGAAGGTTCACTTTTTTTCTTTTTAAAAGAATTTCAAGTATGTGCTGATAAGGTTCTGGGAATAGAAAGTAACCACGATTTTTTGGTGAAAGTAAAAGTTGGAAAATTCATGGCCAAACTGGCTGAGCATATGTTCCCAAAAAGCCAGGAATAACTTTCTTATTTTGCAGACTAGAGGTACTAAATATTGTAAACTATTATTTTTCTTGTCCTTGTTTATATGATAAAAGAAATCTTACAGCCGCCAATTTTGAATAATGAATTGCATCATCAATGCTCATATATTCCATGCTAGTCTTCAGGTTTAAGCTGGATGAATGAATATTACACTTGTTCTGAAAACATGTTTGTCGCTTTTTATCTTGTTGCCCAGATTGAACTATTTTTATTATTTTCTCTACATAAAGGAGAGTGAAACAATTCATCCTATGTGAGCTCCGTTCTGTCATTTGTATTAACTTTATTTGTATCTAATAAAAAAATTGTGTGTGATTTCTGGGGGAGAGGGAAAAGGAACAAAAAGGAAAGAATGAAAAAAAAAGCCATTTTTGTCCTTCAGCTAATAATCGAGTTGGAGACATAAAGAAATATACAAACAACAAGAAAAGATAATAGCTTGAGCATTTGCTCATTGTCAAATGTACACTCTCAGAGCATAGAAAAAAAGAGGTGAGGCTTCAGTGAATGAAAGTAGTCGGGTTCCTGCATGAAGGAACAGCCATTTAAATGAAACATGGATTGCATAAAGTATATAAGGCATTCTGTGATAACGGTGTGAAGAGAGGACGTTATAAGACGAGCATAGAGATAGAGACTGTTTCAGTTAGGAAAACAATTTGTCTAGAAGTTATGAGACATGACAGCGAGACATAAATACATTTAGAGAGCACAGTGAAACCAGTTTACAGAAAGCTGTTTTAACATATGTTTCATGAAAGCCACTAAATATTTTCATTTTGAAAGAGAGTATTTGGATACATCTAAAAATCCCTCTCTTCCCATACAATGTTGGTGAGGATGTGGCAAAGTGGACACATTTAAACCCTGATAGTGGAAATGGTTTATACTGGCACCAGATTTGTGGAGGGCTATTTTTGTAATATATACCATAAGCTTTAAATATGTAAAATGTTCACTTACAAGAATTTGTCCCAAGAAAATAATTGAATCATTGACCGAAGAGTGTATGCACAAAGCTGTTCATTCCAGAACTTTCTAAAATAGAAAAATCTGTAAACCATCTAAATTTTTAGGACACTGGGTTGTTAAAAAATGATGGCATCATCACCCAGTGCAATATGATAAATATGTTGATGGAACTCTATATTATCAGAATAGAATTTTTACCAAGCATTGTTAAATGAGAAAGATAGGTTATACAGCAGTATTCAGAAAAGAATTCCATTTATTTTTAAGGTATTATAGAATATATATTTTAAAATATTAGAAACTCTGGAAATACAGGTAGTCATATCTTTGGGTGGAAGGATAATAAGTGATTTTTAGCTTTTCATGTGTATTCATCTGTAGGTTATATCCATAGTGAACTTTGATTTAAGGGACTTTTTGAAAGAGAGAAGTGTCGGGGATGAAGCAAGTGACTGGCACATATACAGAGCAGAAACATGTTTCAATTAAAAATTCATTGGGTTGAAGCTTCCATTCTACAATGACAGATAAGTGGTGAAGACAGACCTTGTAATGAGGATTGCATGAAGTAATACACGCAAAGTACTTATGTTTTGGCACAAAGCAGTTAAATAAGAAAAGGGAGCATCCTTAATTCCTTGGAATGCAGGGTTGACCGTTTTGTATTTATCTTTATTTTGCTGAGATACTCTGCCATGTGTCAACATCATTTATACAAAAGAACAATAAAACTTAGTGTTTATTAAGTGACTACTTTGTAGAGTTCTGTTATTCTTGCAATGAAATCTTTAAAATACCTTCTCAAAAGAGTAAAACTTTTTGTTCTTTTATAAGAAGTCAAAGTGTTTCCTCAGACACGATCCCACCAAAACCCACAACATAGTCCTAGTTGGTTTGGAAAGCCAATATACATGAGGTTAGTAAAGAGTAAAATTTTGGGGTTAGTTCAGAACTAGTTTTAGCTCCAGGTCTCCAAATACTCATTCTAATGTCTGTTGGAGACCAAATGACCAGAGACAGTGGTTTAGTTTGTTTTTAAATCTGGTTTTATTTATGTTTTTTCCCCTTTTGTTATTGTTATGTACTATTGAGTCAAGACCTATTTATAGCTGACAACGCCAGTGGGTTCTCAGAGGTGGTGAATCATATGAGAGTCAATTGCCTATCTTTCTCCACCAGAGTAGGTAGTGGATTAGAACTATGTGCCTTTGTGTTAACAGCACAATTCCTTGTCACTAGGTTAGTTCCCTACTATTAGGTTAATTCCTTACCCAAAAGGGAGCTCTGGTGGCCTAGTGGCAAGAAGCTGCACTGCAATCCCAGAGGTGGTTGTTGTTGTTATGTGCCGTTGAGTCACTTGCGACTCATAGCGATCCGATGTACAACAGCCCTAAACTCTGCTCTGTCCTGTACCAATCGCACTGTCTGCATGGTTCAAATCCACCAGATGCTCTACTGAAGGAGGTACAATCTCCTTCTGTACCGTCAGATCCAATTTGATGTAATACACACAAAAAATAGTAAAATAATTCCTTACTCAAAACTGAGACATTTGCTACAGATGTAGGTCGATGATTGCAGCCCTCAAAGTCAAGAAAACAAAGATTCCCACCACTGGGATGATTGATAGCATCATGATAGACAGTGAAGAAACTGAGATTGTTAACAGCTTCAGTTTTCTTGGCTCCACAATCAACACTCTTGTTACCAGCAACCAGGAAAGAAAAAGATTAATGGCATTGGGGAAAAACCTACTGTCAGGGCTCTTTCCAGAATACTGAAGAACAACAATGTCAATCTGGAGACTAATGTGCACTTTATCAAGGTCATGATCTTCACAATTACTTGCTATGCATCAGAAAGCTGGACTATGATTAGAGATGATAGAAGGAAAGTTGATTCATTTGAGTTGTGATGCTGCAGAAGAGTATTGAATATACCATGGATTGCTAGGAGAACAAACAGAGAGGGTGAAACCAGGTTGGTACTCTAGGCAAAGACTCTGAAGTTCTGTCTGACATACTTTGGGCATGTTGCAAAGAGGGACCAGTCCTTGGAGAGGGACATCATGCTTGGAAGGATAGAGAGATACCGCAAGAGAGGAAGACACTAGATGAGATGGATTGACTCAATGACGCACGTAATGGGGGTAGGTGTGTCAGAGACAATAAGATTGGCACAGGATATAACATGGTTCAAAGCTGTTATATGTAGGGTTGTTATGAGTCGCAAGCAACTCAATGGCACTTAACAACAACACAAGAGAGCCCTGGTGGCCTAGTGGTAAGATGCTATACTGCAAGCCCAAAGACACATTGTTCAAATCTGCCTGCACCTCCATGGGCAGAGGATGGGCCCTCCTGTGCAATTTACTGCCTCTGAAAACTCACTGGATGGGTCAGCTGTGAGTTGGTTTTGCCTCCACTGTACACAGAAACAACAGGCCACCAGAGCTACTATCTATCTATATTTATTTTTTTTAATATTGCCTTACCCTTCACTCAATTTATCTTCATTGCCATTTTTTTATGTTAGATTTCTAGATACATCTTGAAATACAATGTTGTGAATAGCAAAAGAATATCCACACGCATACAAGGAAGACCTGTTAATACTACTATCATTCAACTCAAGCACCAACGACAGAGACAAAGAGGAGGAAATAGGTAATATCATCTTTTGCAGTCAGAAATCGATCAAACATTCAGCCAAGATGCATTAATAATAATGAGTGACTGGAATGAAAATGTTGGGAACCGAGAAGAAAAAGCAGTAGTCGGAAAACATGAAATGATAATAGAAATGTGGCTGGGAATAGAATGATAGAATTCTGCAAAATGATTTATTTATAGCAAATACCTTTTAAAAGAAACATAAATGCAGGATATACACATAGATTTCACCTGATGGTATGCACAGGAATCAGATTGATTACATCTGTGGAAGGAATTGTTGAAAGTTCAATAACAACAGTGAAAACTAGGCCAGGTGCTGATTGTGGAACAGACCATCAAGTACTCATGTGCAAGTTCAAATTAAAGATAAGGAAAATGAAACCAAATCCACAAGAACCAAAATTTGACCTTGAGTCTATCCCACTTGAATTTAGAAATAAACTCGAGAACAGGTTTGAGGCCTTGAACACTAATGAATGAAGACCAGATGAGCTGTGAGAAGATATCCAGAATATCATCCACAAAGAATGCAAAAGGATACAAAGAAGAAAAGAGCAAAATGGATGTCAGAAGAGACTCTGAATATTGCACTAGAGCGCCAAGAAGCCAAAGTAAAGGGAAGAAATAAAGAAGTTAAGGAGTTGAATGGAAGATTTCAAAGGGCAGCACAGGAAGATCAAGCAAAGTATTATAATGAAATGTGCAAAGAACTGGAGTCAGAAAATCAAAAGGGCCGAACTCACTTAGCATTTCTTAAGTTGAAGGAACAAATTCACCACAGGAGTTGCAATACTTACGGATGCTATGGGCAGAATATTGAATGATCTAGGAAGTATTAAAAGGAGATGGAAGGAGTATGCAAAGTCATTGCACCAAAAAGAATTGGCTGACACAGAAAAATTCAAGAAACAATATTCAATCAAGATGCAATGGTGATAAATAGGACGTTCAAGCTGTTCTACAGGAATTGGCAAAAAATAAAGCCCTAAAATTGATGGAATGTCAATTGACATATGTCAAAAAATAGATGTTGCCTTGGACATGCTCACCAGGTTGTGCTAAGAAATCTGGAGGACAGCTACCTGGTCAAGTGACTGGAAGAGCTCCGTATTTATTCCCATTGCAAAAAAAAGGTGACCCAACAGAGTGTTGAAATTATCGTAAAATATCACTAATATCACATTCAAGCAAAATTCTGCTGAAGATTATAAAAAAATGACTGTAACAGTATATTGACAAAGAACTACCAGAAATACAAACTGGCTTTAGAGGAGGTTGTGGCACTAGAGACATTATCACCAATGTCAGATAGATCTTGGCAAAAAGCAAAGAGTACTAGAAGTATATCTATCTGTGTTTCATTGACTATGCAAAGGCATTTGACTGTGTAGATCACAGCAATTGCAGCTAACCTTGAGAAGAATGGGAATCCCAGCATACGTAATTGTGCTCACGTGAAATCTATACTTGGACCAGGAATCATTCTTCAGAACAGAGCAGTAAAACACTGCATGGTTCAAAATCAGGAAAGGAGTGCATGAGTCTCCATACCTGTCTCCATACCTGCCTCTATACTTTTTCTTTTCTTTTTTTTTTAAAATTATTTTTAATGAAAGTTCACAGAGACCCAGGATTTCCAGTCACTCATTGTATCCACCTCCCTCCCCCCAATTCA